TTGAGCGATTAGCGGGGTATTCTCATTATTGTTTTTTGGATGGGTATTCAGGTTATAATCAAATTTCTATATCCCCAGAGGATCAAGAGAAAACTACCTTCATATGCCCATACGGTACATTTGCATATAGAAGGATGCCCTTTGGCCTTTGCAAGCACCCGCCACTTTCCAAAGGTATATGATGGCTATATTCTCCGACATGGTGGAGAAATGTACTGAGGTTTTTATGGATGACTTCTCGGTATTTAAGGCCTCATTTGACAGATGTTTGAGCAATTTAGAGATGGTGTTGAAAAGATTCGAGGAGACAAATTTAGTACTTAATTGGGAAAAATATCATTTCATGGTCCAGGAAGGCATAGTTCTCGGCCATCGGATTTCACGTAAAGGGATAGAGGTTGACAAGGCAAAAATCCAAGTCATTAAGAAATTACCTCCACCTACCTCGGTGAAAGGGATAAGGAGTTTTTTGTGACATGCCAGATTTTATAGGAGGTTTATCAAGGACTTCTCGAAGATCACAAAGCCACTTTGCTCCTTACTTGAGAAGAACACTCCATTTGATTTCTCTTAAGAGTGCCTCCATGCTTTTAACACTCTTAAAGAGAAACTCATCACAGCTCTTATCATTGTAGTTTCGGATTGGAATTTACCATTTGAGCTTATGTGCGATGCAAGCAATTATGTCGTTGGAGCAGTTTTGGGGCAAAGGAGAAATAAAATCTTGCATGTTATTTACTATGCTAACCGGACTTTGACTGATGCTCAACTGAACTATGCCAATACTGAAAAAGAGATGCTTGCAGTGGTATTCGCATTTGATAAATTTCGATCTTACCTCATTGGATCGAAAGTGATTGTTCGCACGGACAACTCAGCCCTCAAGTATTTGCTAGCAAAGAAAGATTCCAAGCCTCGGTTAATTAAATGGGTCCTTTTTCTACAAGAGTTTGACTTGGAAATTCACGATAAAAAAGGGACCGAAAATGTTCTTTGCCGACATCAAACATTATTTTTGGGATAATCCTTTGTTGTTCAAACAGGGTCCGGATGAAATTATTTGGAGATGTGTGTCGGAAGATGAAATGGAGTAAATCCTTGAACAATGTCATTCCTCACCCTATGGTGGTCACTTCGGGGCCGTGAAAACCGTATCAAAGGTACTTCAATCCAGTTTTTATTAGCTCACATTATTCAAAGATGCTCACACTCTTGTCTCCAAGTGCAACAAATGCCAACGCAGTGGTAATATTTCCAACCGAAATGAAATGCCTTTGAATTCTATATTAGAGGTGGAAATTTTTTATGTATGGGGTATTGATTTTATGGGACATTTTCCTCCTTCATTCTCAAATCAATACATATTGGTAGCGGTTGATTATGTGTCAAAAAGTGGGTAGAAGCGGTGGCTTTGCCCACTAATGATGCTCAGGTGATAGTAAACTTTTTAAAGAAAAATATTTTCTCTCGCTATGGCATCCCCCGAGCTATCATTAGTGATGGAGATAAACATTTTTGTAATCGCCTCTTCGACTCAATATTGACCAAATAGGGAGTAAAGCATTGTGTAGCTACTCCCTATCATCCTCAAACTAGTGGCCAAGTTGAAATTTCGAATCGGGAGTTGAAGAGGATTCTTGAATTGACGGTGAGTGCCTCCAGAAAAGATTGGTCCAAGAAATTGGATGATGCATTATGGGCTTATCGTACCGCGTTCAAAACGCCCATTAGTATGTCTCCCTATCATCTTTTGTTTGGGAAAGCTTGCCACCTCCCAGTAGAACTTGAGCATCGAGCTTATTGGGCAGTAAAAGCTTTGAATTTTGATGTGAAATTGGTCGGTGAGAAAAGATTGCTCCAATTAAATGAACTGGATGGAGTCTGCCTTGACTCTTATGAGAATGCTCAAATTTACAAAGAAAAGACAAAGAAATGGCATGATAAACACATTGTGAAACGCGAGTTCTTTGTTGGGCAACAAGTTCTTCTCTACAATTCTTGACTCCAATTGTTTCCCTGAAAGCTCCGTTCGGGATGGTCTGGTCCTTTTACCTTTGCTAAGGTTTTTCCACATAAAGCAATTGAACTTCATCGTAAGGAAAAGGGAAACTTCAAGGTTAACGGGCAACGATTGAAACCATACTTGGGAGGTGATTTTTCTATGGAGAAGTCCTCCATTCATCTTGCCACTTTGGAGTGAACAATACCTATAGTCGAGCTAGGGAATATAACCAAGCGCTTGTTGGGAGGCAACCCAACTTTTTTATCCTTATACTTTTGTTTATGTTACTTGTGATTAATACTTTTGGTATTACATTTTGAATTAATACAATTCTTTTGTAGGCCAAAACTTTTGAAGTCCTAGCCACTCATAGATCTCAACAAGTTTGGGGGTGCATGGTCCACTAAGTCATAAACCAAAAACTCATCTACAACATCCTTCAACAAACACCTAATCGGGGAAGTTTTGTTATCCCTCTCCTCTTTATCTTGTTCTTTACACATTGAGGACAATGTGTGGTTTAAGTTTGGGGGTGATTGGGCTTGAATTGATGATATTGTATTGATATGTTAGATAGCCTTGCCGGCTTTGCATGGCTTTGATGTTTGAAATTGTTATTGGTTCATGAGTTATGCATACATGACCAAATATGCTATTTGTGCGTAATTTTTTCAAAAAAATTGTTTATCTATTGTGAGATTTTGAATTACTTTGGACACAATAGTCATGATTAATTGTTATCTAGATGTGGAAAATTTTTGATTGAAGGATATATTTTTGAATTGGTTGAACTAGGTTGTGACTTGTGAGTTGTTTGGAAATTTTTATCAATCTATATTCTCTTTTCTTTCACTTTACCACATTTGAGATAAGTTTGGGGGTGGTCGAGCCGGTGAAGGATATTATCTAGAAGTGTGTTGATTCCATGCATGTCGAAAATATTTGTGTAGAGTGTCTTTTGTCAAGTATATGCTAGGTAATGACCGTATGTTAGGGATCTAAACCCCATTTTTGTTGTGTTAAAAAAAAATTAAGTTATTGTACTTTTTGAATCTTGGACCTCACTTTGTAGCCTTTTTTACTTGAGTTATTAAATCCGTAGGGGTATTTTGAAACCCGGTATCCTTTTGGCCTAAACAATCGGGGAGTTATCGACCTAAAGCTTGCTACAAGGGTCAAGAAGAAAGCTCAAGGGAGTGATGTAAAACATAAGATTCGGCTAAAAAGAAGAAAAAAAGAGGAAAAAATGTTATTGATATTTGGGCTTAGATAACTAGTGGATTTGAATTGCTTAGTATAAACTTGAATGTGAAAGCACTCATTAGTAGAGAATCATCACATGACTAGAGATTGATATTACTGGTTATACCCAACCGAACTAGAGCGGGAATAGAAATGAGTGAATTGAGAGCAGCCTTAGATTTATACCTCGGGGAAAGAAATGAATATCTATTTGAGGAGTGTAAATTTAACGAGTGGGAAAGGAAATATTTGACCACAAAGGGTCGGGTTGGAGCCAATTTGAAGATTT